CACAAGAATGTTTATAAAGCTGGAAGATCTAAGCAATGAGACACAATTTGGTTTCACGAGCAGACTGGATAGATGTGAAGAAGCTTTTTTCTTGAATACGATTGTACAAAACTTGTAACCTCGGAAATCTTTTTTGGATGGTGCTAGAAAGATAACCAATGGAGACACTGCGGACGGCAGCCAGATGGTTGGTGGAGAGCGAGTCGTGGGTTCGAAACTAGCTTTGCGAACCGGGATTGGGTCCAACGGACGAAATAAGTAAAGATAGGATAAGAGATATTAGAAAAGATATAGAAATAAACAAAAAGATAGATGGGTAAAATTACCAAAGATAAGAGAAGATAGAAACAGGGCGCCACTCAATTTTTTGGGGTTAAGGAGTAAATTAAGAAACCTTAGAAAAGAAAAGAGATAAGAAAAGATATCCTTCAGAGATCAGAGATCAAGCCCAAGGAAAGATACCAACAGTTAATTATCAAATAAATTTGGTCAACACAATATATAAACAAATAATAAATATATTAGGTATTACACTTACTTACCTACGAAACTTAATCAGCCTGATCTTTCTACTGGTCAAAGGTATAGTAATAAATTAATATACTAAGCAAATATTTAGAGCTACTATTTTATCAGGGAACTTGTTAGGAGCCGACAAATAAAATACATGCATAAAACATTAACAATATATTAAACACAAAATTATGATGCTGCTAAATGCAACACAAGTAATAAAAATACACAACTATGAAATGGTGTTATATATGTATAAAAGTAAGCAATAATATAATAAAAAAATACCTTTACCAAGATATATAAGGCAATCATATACAAATATAGTTTGGCGTATCTGGAGATATTATAGGAAAGATAATGAGCAAAAATTATAGCAAATACAAAAGATAGCAAAAATTTCTTAACTCTAACTTTACAAAAAAAAAAATTAGAAAAACAGGTTACAGAGTTGAAAACATTAACTAGCCAAACCGCACTTGGCTAGGTGGGTTACTATCTCGCAATATTAATTAATGCTAAACTGAGATGTTCATAGTTATTATTTATGGAAAGTTCTTGAATTGTTCTTTAAATTAAATATAAAAATCGGCAATCTACAGATAAGGATATGGATGAATGATGGCTGATACGTCCAGATAATGGCAGGTGGTATGATACCATAGCATATTACTCGCCCAGATAATTTGCAGATAAAGATTATGGTAACTTACATAATTCCTGATGACGGCAGCTTAATTCACTGAATTTAATATACTGTACTGGTATTCAACACTGAATTTAATTAGGTACCATTAAAGGTAGTGTAGAACTATATATATATATATATATATATATATATATATATATATATATATATATATATATATAACTTAATATAGTCTAAGACAAGAAAACTAAAATATAGAGTGTATACACACTTAGAAAATAATTCACAGAGACGATAATTTCAGGCAAGCGACCACACTCAACGAGAGGCCACCAATAAGTCTCACGAGATAATCGACCTGTGCTCAACGAGAGCCCACCGAGAAGTAAGTTGGTTCCACTAAAAATTTCACAAGCTGTCCAAGAAAAAAGAAGAAGGTATATCCCCCACTTAAAATCATCGGACAGTTGTAGGTAATTTTGAGGAAGTAAAAATTTTGTTTTGTAAAAAATTTGTAAAAGTTTTGAGTTACCTGTACTAACAATTGGACAGCAGAAGCAGACAATACTTGGGATTATGTTATTGTCAAAAGATACGGGCCGTCGGCGAAAATTATCAATTTATGTAAAAGAACCTGCATACCCAAAAGCATTAGATCTTTTCATACTGAGTATTAAGATGGAAAGGATTAACTACCTTTAGTAATTAGGGAAGTCCATTATAATTTAGTAGATCCAATATTATTTTCTTATCGTAAACATGGCAATTCCTAATCATCGGCGTATAGCACGGGGGTAAAAGAAATTAAAAATAATTAATATTTTAATAATAAAAAAAATGTTACAAACTGCATGGATCAACAAAGGATATAGTCATAAATTCCTCGATTATCAAAAATCTTTTGACTTCGTAAAACATGACGCAATGATAAAAATGCTACACAACGCTAACATTGACGAGAAAGATATTAGAGTTATCCAGAATCTCTATTGGAATCAAAAAGCACGAGTGAGACTGAATAAATCAACGATCACAGAAGAATTTGAAATTTTAAGAGGGTTAAGGGGTGTATTTTGTCTCCTATGCTCTTCAATCTCTATGTGGAGAATATTTTTCGAAACGGTTTTCCGATAAATAACAATTACACCGACAACACCGCGATAATAACAGACAACGAACATGATATGCAGCTGATATTAAAAAAAATAAACACCGTAGGAAAAATATATGGCTTGAACATAAATTCTGGAAAAACTAAATGCATGGAAATAAGGAAAAACGCAGTTTTAAGTAACGTATACTTAAAACGCAGTTTTAAGTATACAACTGCAAGTATATAGTGCTCCAATCCATCAAGTAAAAACATTTTAATACTTGGGAATGATGATGAATGACCAATGGGATCCTTAACAAGAAATAAAATGCCGCACCGAATAAGCAAAACAAGCTTTTATCAAATTTAAACCGCTACTATGTAACCGCAATCTTTTCTTCAATCTCTACAGGATGGATAAATGCTATGTATGGTCTATATTGTTATACGGCATGGAAATATGGACGTTAAGAGTACCTTCCATAAATAAGTTGGAGGCCTTCGAAATGTGGACGTTGCGAAGAATGTTCCGCATACCATGAAAAGATAGGGTGAGAAACATAGAAGTCTTAAGAAAGGCAAATACTGGGAGAGATCTACTCAATTTGATTAAGGTACGAAAAATTGGATACCTCAGTCATATTTTAAGAGGAAATAAATACACAATCCCTCAACTAATCATCCAGGGAGAGATTGAAGGCAAGAGCGCAATAGGTCGCAAACAAATGTCGTGGCTACGGAACATAAAGAACTAATAACACTGGCGATCTTTTTGCATGTCGCAAAAGACATACGTCTGGCCTTAAGATTATTCTCCAACGAATTATAGGTGCACGGCCCTATAAAAAGAAGAAGAAAAAGAAGAAGAAGTATGCTTATCACATTTTATTATGTCTTAAATAATCGTTTTTAATTTATTTATTTTGTATGCTTTTGTTGCTTTGTATATTAATTCTGCATTTCCACTCTCTTTTAAATACAGAACAGCTTACAAAATAAATTTTTCTCAAAGAAAATAATTAGTTTTAGGACACTTGATAGATAGACCCTTGAGACATATTGATTTCGAAATATGTACAACGTCTTTCCGAAAACCCTCCAGCGAACGACGAAAGAAAAAATAAGAAAAACTAGTTATTTCAACGGCTTAATCTGAATGCAATTACGTTTTTCTGACGCTTTATATAGAAATAAGAAAAGCTCCGGTAAAAACCTCTCGGAAAACTTTAATTCGCAAAAAGAATAAATAGCTTTTGAGTTGAGAGAAAGAAGTGAAACTCTCGACTACGTCGTTACGGCCCTAATAGGATTCCCTCTTTGAATCATCTGGGAGAGAATCGTTTCATTACTATAATGAGTTTCACTCACTCCGCCATTGTATTTACTTTGTTACAACCATTAATAAGACCGAGATAGAAATTAGGAATCCTGGCCGGAAGACGTATCATCTATGATGCACTTCTAATTTTATATAAAACTGAATCATCAATTATTTCTAGCAGAGTACTCCTCTATCAAACTTTCTTAATTTAAAGCAGAAATCTAAATTAGAGAGAGCGAAACTCTAGTGACGGGGAGAATCGTATCCTAGACACTTCGAATTCCCAACAAATTAGTAAACTTGAACCAGAACGAAAATCTAGAGTTACGTTAGTCAACAATAATAGCGAAGAAACGAAAAGTAAGATTCTAAGTACGTTTGTGTTAACAGTAATTTTTTTTAAACTAGTATACTGGTATTTTATTAGTATATATATAGATATATATATATATATATATATATATATATATATATATATATATATATACACGGATATCTTGGGTTTAGTAGTCAATATTGGCCTTTAAGTAAAACTCTTTTAGGTTTGTTAAGCCTTCGAGTTTATTGTACTCTTTTTCAAAACGTACTAAAAATTAACATAAAAAATTTACATTAGAAACATGAAGTTGTTATATCTTTAATAGGCTTACTCTTGTGAGGATTGTGTTTTAAAATTAGCAAAATTCATTAACATCATGACATTATTAAATTTGATTTTCTTTTTCGTTCTGTCAAAACTTATTAGGTACTAAGGTTTACATGTCTCTTCTATTTTTTATATTTATTTTAGGATGTTTATACAAAGCTTCATTGCAAATTTTATTATTATTATTCTCCGATAAAAGTAGGATCTGCCTACATGGAAATGACAAGAAGCATCTATGAAAGGTCAGGAGAGAGGGTCAGCGCCACTAAACAAGTGCTCGCTCGGGACACTCCTTGGTGGTGTAATAACTAAATATTACCAAACTACAGGAAAAAAAGATCGTACTTTCCCTTATTCACTTTCCACCATGTTAGAGGGTCGACGTCACCTGCCATGCGTTTTTACGATGAGTATTCTGTGACAGTTTTACGGATTAAAAGATGGACAGAGTTTTGAAAACCAGGACGAGCCATGTCATCTTCTTCATTATCACTCGTATCCATCAGTAAACTTATCGTTTCTTTTAACGACAGATTGTTGTGTGTTTCGTAATCTTCGCATTCACTATTTAATCTAACACGCTTTGCATTCGGGTAAAGTGGATTGAAAGATATGTCGGTGTCATTGTCTCTGAGCAAATCCAAAATATGCTCTATGACAAGCTCTTTAGTCGACGTATTTTTAAAAAAAATTGCTTTGTATCTTGGGTCAATAAAGGTCGCTGCGGCAAACAATATTTCATTCTCTAAACCCGAAAACTTGCGAATTAGCTCATCTTTTATGCGGTAATCATATCACCAATGTGTTCATCGGATGTATCAAGATCATGAACAACTTTTTCTAGAGTAGCAATTAAGGGAATTACAGAAAAAATAGAAACATCGAGCGCACTTAACTCTTTGGTCACTTCTTTAAATGGTCTTAGTAAACCGATAAGTTTTTCAACAATCATCCACTCTTTAGAAGCTAGCTGAGGAATTTTATTATTTGCCGAAGCGTACAGACATAATGGCTCTTTGACTTGAAAAATACGCTCGAACATATCAAAAGTGCTATTCCACCTAGTAGCACATTCTTAAATAATCGTAAGAGTTTTTTGATTGTCTTTTTTGTATATTGGTCAGCTCATCTTGAGCAGCAGTCGAATGATGAAAATGAATTGCCATCTTTTTGCATTTTGTTATGGCAGCCTCGACAGATTCTTGAGCCTTCATCCCTGCTTTTAACACATTTTGAATCTTGTGAGAAGTACAGTCAATATGTTTAACATTTAATAATTTAACACCTTTTTTGATATTAGCACCTGCATCGCGAACTACACATTTCACTTTTTGTTTGGGTATTTTTTAAAACGACAAGATATCTTTACGTTTATTAGCAATATTTTCTCCGATGTGGCGGTCTTCATTAAACACTTCTGCTTTTAACACTATCATTTTCCTTTTAAATTCTTTTGTTATCCCATGACAAGTTAAACTCAGCAATGAAACTCCAGAACAATTATCAGACCAAATGTCGGTAGTAAATGATAATTTTGCGAAGGATTTTAGTAATTCAAGAATTTTCTGAATTACTTTGCCAAATAAGTTATCGCATATAAATGAAGTGAAATACTGACGCGACTTTAAATTGTAAGGCGGAGACATATGGATAAGTCTTGTGAATCCAACACTTTCCACGAAACTAAATGGCAAGTCCTCCAACACAACCATTTTACTTATGGAATTACATCTGTTTCACATCTTTAGCAAATATGATAGAATAATACTGGACAATTTAAAGCAGTTAAAAATGACAGACTTCTTCCAATTGCAGATGCTACACACCTCGCGCAAATGAGACTGTTGGCAGTGCCGGAACAATTAAAATTGCCAAATTAAAAAAAACTGTATATTTATAAAAAAAATTATAATCAACTTTGTTAAAACGTTATAGTTTATATTTTATACTAATCATTATAATATATTATAGTCTATATTGTACCACTGCTAATAATCTTCTATGGTTGATGCGGGTTATTCCCAATAAAAAAAACATTTTTAGGATTTCAGCAACGAAATCAAAATATTTTAACAAATTTAAATTCTATTTATAGGAGCAATAAATACTGCGTAACAAAAATAACCTAGTTTGGTGAATATAAAATTGAATTTATCTTGTGTAGCATTATTTCTCCTCAACGCTTTCTGCAGTTGTCTTTACTTCTAAAATCCACTTATCCAACCTTTTATCGTTACGTTTGATCCAGTAAAATGGCAGTTTAAACGCAGTTATGTTTCCAATACACTTTTTGTCCCTCGCCTCGGTGTAAACGACTGCAACTGCACAATTGCACAACTCCTATTGCACAATTATATACCACTGTTTATTGAACTTCATTCGACTAGAAATAGATTTCAATCGCTTCATGTTTTCTAGCCGTAAGAAACTAAAACGAGACTTAAAATGGCCGTCCAGCCGATTTGAGCAAACACTGATGCAGATAATGAAAAATCTAAGGTTGCGATCTCGCCCGAATCTCCGGAGCAATTTTAAAGTAATGGTCAATGGATGTGAAAAGGAGTGAGGAAGGAGTGACCGGGAGACAATCTTTCCCGCATGGATTCTGTTCGCCTGTGCACTCCAGCGCCTTCTCAATTTCAACTTAAACTGAATTTGGATTCGGAATGGCTTTATAGCCTTGGAGATATTTCGGGAGATTTATTGGATTCCAATTTATAGTCTACTTCACAATTTATTATAGTTAACTTTTAAATTTTACTGTAAATACAATTTATCTAATATAAATAAATAAAAATATTTGTGTCCCAAAAATATACAGAATATAAAGTAAAATCATTCAAGTAAAGTAAATACAGTTTCTTACTTTTTTTATGTATAAATAAATTAGGTATAAAAGTTTTTCGTTAATAAGCCACGAAATTGTGTCGTTTCGATTTCCATTTTGAAAATCGTTCCCAAAATATAAAACAATAAATTAAACAAATATTTTTGTTACTTGGTAATAAAATTCTTCTAATAATTTAATTTAATCTATTCATATTGTATAAACCGTAAAATGGTATTTTAAGTAGCGTTCCTGGAGCGACTTTATTGGAAGATAGTTCATAATATTTCATAAAACCAACCTTAATTTAGAATATCAGCCGGAAAAAATAATAGCATGTGGTTTGTTTTTAAAAAGACAATAACATGCAATGATAACAGTAAAATTGATTAAATAAAATCCTGTTAGTGTTCCCATAGTAAATCGTAAGAATAAAACCAGTAAAAAAACATCATTATATTATCCTGACAGTGTAGGTATTTGGTCTTACCTTTAGTTTGCTCTCAATGTTTGCAACCAAACTCTGGTTTTATATGTACGGTATTTTGTTTTATTTCTACTCATTTCCACTTTTACTATAAATAATCAGATCGAATTGCATTCTGCCGTGAAATTTTCATATATTTCAATTTAACATAATTTGAGACACCCCTTTGACTTTTCTCTTTTTATCATCTGTGACTTTCAGAACTGTACTTGAATCTTTTCATTTAACTCTATGAACATTTTTCCATGCATATGTACATATTAAAGATCTATCAAATTTTCTATTTTAGATTTATGTTCACGTATTTTAACTTTTGAGGGCTCGAGGATCAAGAAGAGAAAGGAAATGGAGGAGAATTAAATAACCTAAGCAACAAAAAGAAGACACTTTTTCAAAAACAAAATCTAGAAACAGAAAACGCAATAATTAAAAACAAAAACATTCAGGAATAAAAAACAAGAATAAAATCAATGCAGTGATAAGGAAATATTATTTTATTAAAAACATAAGGTCCACCATTTAGTTACCCAATAAATGCTATGAGTTATTTTAATCTGATAAAGAATTGCAAACAATTTTTATTAATTTTTGGGATATGAACAAGTTCGATACACAAAATACTTAATTACAAATTGTATGAGATCTAAAAATGTGACTAGCAAAAAAACTAAGGCAGTAGTGTCAAAAAGATATTAAACTAATAAATACACATTAAAATCACAAGGCAGAGATGTAAAGGTACACAAAATTGCTTTTTTAAGTATCCATGAGTTATAGAAAAATCAAGGTTGAGTTAAAAAATCTAGTAAAACAATTAAAAATTGAATTAAATACTCCAAATTGATTTTTATTGAAATCTTACCTAAGTACAAAAGCCGCGCGGACAGCTGCAATATTCTATTCAGGTTTGTTATGAGTGAGTATATGTAGGAGAATGCATTTTTAAAAAGAAAACAGTTACTGCAGATAAATTTAGAAGAATTTTTACTAAAGAATTTAAGTTAAGTTGTAATGGGAACAACATCAGAAAAAAAAACAAAAGCAGGTAAACTGGCAGTCACAGAAGCAGCAGACGGAAGCAAACTTAAACCCAAATGTGCACGCAATAATTTTTTTTTTTTTTTTTTTCAACAGGAAACCCTCTCCAGACCAAAGCTTACCACTGGTTCGAGGTTCTGTAAAAAAATATTGTGGTACTATAATTTAAGCATACATTCCCTTGAAGATGGTCAAGGTAATTTTTTTGTGACGAATCTACTGCTAAAAGTGTGTCTGTTGAGATAACTGTCTCAAAATGTACTTTGAGAAAAAAATTCGTGGCAGAAAACTAAAAGCCATTTTAGACAATTGCTGCGAAAGAAAATAAAATCTAAACCATTCATGGTCTTTGGTCTTACCTTTTACACAATGATTATTTTAAAGGAAATATTTATATAAAATAATTTTGTTACCGACAATAAAAAAACTATTCCTGTTTGCCAATTCCGTCTTCACACAAGTCTTGCAGTACACAACTAACTACCCCCTTTTAAAATTAAATATCTGTTTTGTCTTTTGAAATTGTTCTGTTCGTCCTGTGAATGTTTTCTAATTTAAATTTTTTGAAATTTCTTTCTAATTCGATGTTTTGAGATAACAATAATTTCTTTCTGCCTAAAAATCGACCAATATGGGATCTTTTATTTACTAATCGAAGTAACTGCACACCCAAACTAACATCAAAAACAACATCTATCTTATTCTACCTTGTTACAGTGCTGTCTGTTCTAGATAAATAACTTCAATAAATAACTCATTATAAAATATACCTCTTCAATAAATATAAATAAGTTTTAAATAATATAATATTACATTTAATTTTCAACCAACAATTTACATTAATTCCTATATTATTATGCGAGTTGTTATATATTCTTCTCCTCAAAAACTATCCCTTTACTCGTTAAATAGTTGCAGTAAAACCGATGATCACCTGTCATCAATTTACCATTACGGATTTTTAAACTTTTTTCTAACACATTTAATAATAATCCTTGTATTAGCATCATTAGTTACTAAAAGTTTTAGTAACAGTTGACAACCTCGTGTCCTGAGAAACGGTTGCTTTCTATATTTCCTAATTTTCAGATGACATTTTTTGCAGTCAAAAACGATTAAAAGGTAAGTTTAAATCTATTGTTACAAGTTTATACTTTGTATTATTGAATTAAATTTTCATTATTAATCAATACATCTTTTTTTATCGTAAACACAACGTATTTTTCAATGTACTACGGATAGTACATGATGACATAAGGATATTTAAGTTGTACTACTACTAGTAGAATTTAATTCAAAGAAAAACCTCAGCTACTTACTTTTATTAATTTTTTTGCAGATATATACTTTTAAAAATGAGTAAATATAACAGAAATAAACCATTGAGTGAAAAATAACTATTTGAGTTGATAGAGGCTGGACTTTCTGATGTGGAAGAGTTCTGCGATGAAGAGACTGATGAGATGAGATATGGATGTTCGAAGATCTCCAGAGAGACTACGGAATTATCGGTAAGATCATCAATTATCAAGTTATTTTTGCTTATCTGATAAGTTAATTTTAGGTAATGATAATCATACTAACAGTCAAGTAAATGATTTGGAGGCAGAATTTTCTGAAAGTGCCACTTTGCAAATCTCAGCATCCCATGTTCACAACGATAATACTACTTCTAGATCTACTAAAAAGCAAACTAGGGCGTAAACAGTTAATTGAGGAGTT